CCCCCCCCCCCCCAAATAGTATAGGCCTTTATTGAGGCCCCTAGACTAAGCCCCCTGCTTCTACCCAAAAAAAACCAAGAAGTCCTCAAGCCCGAGACCCCAGTTGCGGCGAGCCTGCTGTAAGCCACAACGATGGCTGCCTGGGCTCTCTCAGCAGCGAAGCAAGGGTTTAGACACGCAAGACGTAAATTACATCTGTTACATAAACCCACCAAACGCAGGCCTCCACAGTGTGCGTTTCTGTTAGGGTTTAGACTGCTAGTATGCTATAGCTGAAAAGGAACAACAGCCATGTCATTACAAGGCCGCGTTATCACACAATATTCCGACCACTGTGGCCAAACGCATTCCCCTAAACCCTATACCCCAAAGGTATTCTTCACATCGACGTTCAGTGGTAACGTGTCGCAATACATGTTGACAGAACTCAGTCTCAGGGTTCACCGAGTCTGGGGCCTTCAATATGCATCACTCTCGTGTAGCTTCCTTCTGCAACAAGCCAAGGAAGTAAAAGGTTAAACTTTCAGAATACAATAGTAAAAAAATTATAAGAACAAAAAAAGCTTAAAGGTTGGGTATTTGGGGAACTAAGGTAGGGTTTGGGGACAGGGTTTAGGGTTTAGGGGTTGGGTTTAGGGCATGGCGATAAGAGTTTGCAGGGCTATTGTGAGGTCGAATTCTTGTGCTGCTGTCCATATGGTGCTCCTGGCTATCAGCCCCTCATCCTAAACCTTAAAGCTTAGTATAGGGGCCTTGATAATTAGAATAGGGCTGTGGGGAAATATTTACTTTCGAACCAGGATCCCGTCAGGAATAGCATTAGTTACAGACTGTCGAAGAAGGATTAAGCATCTGTACCACCCGAAGGCATAAACTCGAACTTCCTGGGCTCAACCCCAACGCCGCATCCTGAGATCTTCACCCACAGCCCGTGCCCAACTCATCTGTGCATAAATATGTATATATATATATATATATATCTGTATACATATATATATATATAGATATATACTTACACATATATATACATATAGACATCAAAGCAAAAGTCACAAAATATGTCCTAAGTGCGGAAGATCCACAGTCTTAAACAAAAACGAAATCCCAAACTCCAAACCCAAAGCCCCCAAATTCCAAACTAAACCCCAGGACTCAAGACCTCAAACCTCAAACACAACCCTAAACCCAACAGTCCAGACTAAACCCGAAGCCTGAAACCCTAAACCGCCTGTAATAAGGACAGGCCAGTTACCCTGAACCCTAAACCCTAAACCCTAAATCCTAAACCCGAAACCTAAACCCGAATCCCTACACCCTAAACCCTAAATCCTAAACCCTAAACCCCACGCCCAGGCACACCAACTTGAGAGTCTTTGCCCAAGCTGGTGTTCGCAACATCTGGAGCGCCTCGCGTCGGATCCGGGGGGCTTCGTTAATGCTACAAACAATAACGCTTTAGGGTTTTAGGGTTTATATAATAATCATGTTATAGTTAATAACAAGAAACATAATAGTAAAACTACTACTACTACTACTACTACTACTACTACTACTCCTGCTGCTGCTGCTGCTGCTACTACTACCACTACTACTACTACTGATACTACTACTAACAAGAATAACAACGACAATAATAAAATGATAATTTTAACAGTTATCATCATGATAATCATAATCGTAATTAATAGTAATACTGATACTAATCATGCTGAGCACAATGAAGCAATCAAAACTAGCCTGATTCTGGCAGCAAAACGCCCGGTGCCTTGGCTCCGAGGTCAGGCAGCATGACCTGGTTCATGTAGATCGCCTGGTTAGTGGGTTTGGGATTTCGGGTTTCGGGGTTTAAGGTTTACACAAGGTTTAGGATTTAGGGTGTACATAGGATTTAGGATTTCTGGTTTAGGGGTTGAGGATTGAGGGCTTGGGTTTTGGGAGGTTGCAGTAAGGGTTTAACGGCTCGGAGTACTTGCATGACGAGATTCCGGGTCTAGGCTGTCAATTAGGAGTCGGACGGTTTGTTCGGTACATTGCTGTTTGGTTCACATAGGTGGTGGAGGGGAGGGGCCTGGGGGTCGCCGCTACGATGTGCTTCGCTTGGACCCAGAACACACCAACTCTTGGGGACTTTTCCACCCGAAACCCTAAACCCCCAAACCCCTAAACCCTAAACCACCACATCGAACCCTTATGATAAGCCCTAAACCACACAGAAAAACCTCCAATGCAGGGTTCTGGAAACCGGCAGAAGACGGGTCCAACAAAAGGGAAAGATGGGCCCCAGATGGGTTACGAGGAAGCTGACGGTAAAGTAATGTAGCAGCCTTGATAATTAGTAGGGTTCTGGGGCCCATTGTACTATAACTATGAGAAGGAACCCCCCAAAATAATATTGGCAAATATTTTGACCCCTGTATTACTGACGTTGAGCGACATTGAGGCTTCGGCAAACGTGGTCATAAACAACAGACGTGGTTTAAGGTTTAGGGAGTCATGCAAAACATACAGCCTCATAAGATGCATGCATGTAAATGTAGACCCACAGCCAAACCAGCCAGGCAACCAGGCAGGCAGGCAGGCCAGGCAGGCAACCAGGCACGCAGCCGAGCATGCATGCGTGCATGTAGAACCATCATGATGGGTATGTATTCCAGGCATGGAAATTTTGTTAACTGGAGGCATAGCTGACAAAACTCAAAGTTGGGGGGTTCGGAATTTTCACTCTTGGCCCTGCCTGGGACGGGTGTCGTTCAGCAAAGGCTACGGCATCCGCCAGGCGCATGTGCCAGTTGCCTTTCAAGGGACTTGGAGCTTCCTTCCTTTCTGGAGGGCAATCAGACAGCTGTGTCATCAGTAGTGTCATTATCCCTCCTTAACACATGGGAAACCTACTATATACGAAGACTTAGTTCAGACTGCCATATTTCAACACTGGCAAAACCAAGAACACCCCATCGATCCTATATCAAACTCTTGCGAACCTCAGACTACAGCCCCCCACCCCAAACCCGAAACCCCGACCCTAAACCCTAAACCCAAACCCTATAAACCCTAAACCCTAAATCCAAAATCCTAGATCCGATACCCAAACCTAAACCCTAAATCCCAAACCCTAAACCCTCAACCCTAAATCCTAAATCCCAAACCCTAAACCCTCAACCCTAAATCCTAAATCCCAAACCCTCTCCGGCCCAGATCGACCTGGGCGAAGCAGAGCCCAGGCCGGGGCGCCGTCACTGCGGTTGGCGCCCTGGAATCCAGGGCTTCTTCCGGATGCTCTCTACCCATAAACCCTGAACCGTGTTTGGGTTTAGGGTTTAGGGTTTAGGGTTTAGGGTTTAGGGTTTAGGGAAGTAGGGTTTAGGGTGGCCTCATAGTAGTTCCTTTTTGGGGTTCATTTTTTTAGAATCCTAGAAGGTAAACCCAAAAAGGAACTACTATGGGGCCGATGGGTAGGCCTTAGGGTTTATAGGGGTTTCCATGCGGCGTGGGTTGTGTGTATTTGGGTGCTCGGATTGAGTTGTGTTCTTGAGTTTGGGGTGGGCTAGCTCTTTTCATACGCTGGGGTGTGAGGGGCGGAGCCGGGTTGCTTAAAGGAGTTTTAGCGGGAGGTTTAGACAAGTTTGGGTTCCTAAACCCTAAACCCTAAACCCTAAACCCTAAACCCTGAACCCTAAACCCTAAACCCTAAACCCTAAACCCTAAACCCTAAAGCCTAAACCCCAAGCCCGAGGGTTTGCAGAGGCAGGGCTGATGTTTTCAGGGCTCTGATTACTCGAGAACCAACAAGCTCGTAAGAGAATCACAAGAAGGGGAAGCCCAAAAGGGTCTTAGGACCAGGGTTTGGGGTTTAGGGTTTATGGGGGTTTAGGGTTTAGGGTTTAGGGGTTTAGGGTCTGTACGGGTTTTAGGGTTTAGGGTTTAGGGTTAGCCCAAAAGGGTCTTATGACAAGAAAATGCTGCAGGGTTTAGGGGTTTAAGTGTTTTAGGGTTAAGCGTTTAGGGGCTTAAGGGCCTCAGGGTTTAAGGGTTTAGGGGTTTTGGGCTTAATACTAGAAACCTCTGAATCTCAAAGTCCACTCCGTAAACTCTGCCCTATAGGGTTTAGGGTTTAGTTCGGGCTTAGGTGTTCTACGGTCAGGGCTTGGGCTTAGGGTTTAGGGTTTAAGGTTCCAGGTTGAGGTGTCAGCGTTGAACCCTCAGCAGGAAGCCATCCCAATAACCTGCAGCACCTCGTGATGAGCATGGCGTATCCGACCAAGACGTGCATGTCTGTAGGGTTCAACAATTCTAGATTGGGGGTTCTTAGTGAGACCCCTGCAAAAGTTGGGTAGTCTGGTATCACCGGGCAGCAACCCTCACAATAGCTGTCTAGGGCCCTAGGATGCCAAACATTGAATCGCGTGACAACTCCACCCTGAACCGTCAACTTGGAAACCTGACTCTGATGATCCTGATCCCACCTCAGTGAACCAACACAGCAGCTTATTGAAACAACGGTCCTAAACCCTAAACCCTATAAACTCTAGACCCTAAGCCCTAAACCCCAAACCCTTACAAAAGGCACCAAAGCCTGCCGCTCCAGGACGCGGCTCGACCCCTGAACGCAGGAACAATCCAAGGTTCCGGCTTCGGTTTTGCTTTTAGGACTTAGGGTTTCGGGGTTCAGGGTTGAGGGTAATTTAGGGTTTCGGGGTTCAGGGTTGATGGTAATTTAGGGTTTCGGGGCTCAGGGTTTAGGATAATTTAGGGGCCTCAATTATTAGAGTTCTGAGGTACATTCATGAGATTAGGAGCAGGAAGAGGGTTTTGTTGCTCATTCTCCCGACCTACTCTTTGTTTCTTGAGGGCTCAGGGTTGCAGTCAAGGATTTGGGGTAGCTCATTGGCAGGCTGTTTTCAGTGATCAGGCGTCTACATTAAGTCTACAAAAGCAGCCGAAATAAGTACCAATACTGTTTTGGTGCTCCTTACTATACCTATTCCATACTATACCCCCCCGAATACCCGATTCCCTATATTGCAGTTCCAGTGACCTCAGCACAAGGCTTCCTTTGTCACATTCGACCCGTCTTCGATCCGACTTCCTGTCGAACTCCGCCGTCCGCGCCAGCTCGCGGATCCCGGAACCCTCGGGAGAAAAGACTGCCGGCAGTGGGTGTCTTGGCAAGCAACCTAAACCCTAAACCCTAGACCCTGCTGACACTTGGATTCTTCGTGGCTCTGTGGAAGAAGTGCTGAGCTGCCTTATCAAAAACTTACCCTTGTGACTCTCTCTCTCTCTCTCTCTCTGTCTCTCTCTCTCTCTCTCTCTCTATGTATACGTACATAAACATAACCTCTGCACATGAATACAGACATACAGACAGACAGACAGACAGACGGACAGACAGACAGACAGACATACATGGCGCAGCGTCGCCCTCCCCCCTCCCGGACTCCCCCCCCTCCCGGACTCCCCCCCACCCCATGGTATCCCCCCCTACCCCCCCTGTGGTGTGACGTGGTGTGGTGGTGGGTTGAGGGTTTCAGTTAACCCCGCTCGTGCCCTGTGGTGTGGTGGTGGGTTTTGGGTTATTAAACCCCGACCCCTCCCCCCTTGTGGTGTGGTGTGTTGTGGTGGTGGGTTGTGGGTTTCAGGTTGCGTGTTTAACCCCCTTCCCTCCCTGTGGTGTGGTGGTGGGTGTTGGGTTTAGGGTTTAGGGTTTGAACCCGCACCCCGTGTGTGGTGGGGTTGTTTAGGGTGCAGGTGCACAGATATGAAACGGTTTTTTGACTTTCACACTCGGACAAGGGTTTAGGGTTGATGGTCCGCAGCTGGGCGCGGCGCAGACCGAAACCATGGCCCATCCAGGCGAGTGTCGCCACTTTGGACACGCCACGAAGTTCCATAGCTTAAAAAGTCAACACTCACGAGTATCCGGGTTCGGGGGCCCATGCCTGTACTGTTGGCACTTTTGAGACAAAAGCGAAGACCCCCACTAGGATTTCGGGTGTATACCATGAGGGGGATACCATGGGGGGGTGGCGGGGTACCGACACGCGACACGGAACCATACATACATGTGGTACCCCCCCGGTACCCGGTTGTGCCCTGTCCAAGTCAGCCGCGCTGTGCCTAATATGTGTTCGTGTCCCTTGGTCTTTGCGTCTCTGGGATTTTTGTTTACTTCTGGCTCCCGAGGCTTCTAAGTTTAGGGTTTACAGTGCTTCCGGCTCCGGAGGTTTTTGAGCTCAGGGTTTACAACAGGGTTTGCTCCTGAGGTTCTCGAAATATGAGAAAGGGCGGTGTCTTCGTTGAGAGTGGACGCTACGGCAGCGATTTCGGTCGCAAGCTCAGGGGAAGCTGAAGAACCAGACATCTTCGACTACGGGAAAATTTGCTGGTGGAATTGGTGAGCTCTGATGAGTACCAGTTGCTGCACCAGCCGGGCATTGAGCAGCTTGCAGATGGTCTTACTAAGCAGTTGGCGTCGGAGCGTGCTTGGAAGTTGTTGGAAGGCTGGGGCTTCATCAAGGCACCTTCGCCTCCGGAGACCAAGAAGTTCGAGATGAATGATGGTGAAGGTTGAAACAGCAGCATCAACGGCCGAAACATGGCAGCAGCATCAACAGCCCAAGCAACAGAAGCAGCATCCACAGCCCAAGCAACAGCAGCAGCATCTACAACCCAGATAGCAACCACAACCACAGTCCCACCTTTGAAGGACCAATGAAGGGATCTTGGGTAGGTGTACCCAGGTGTTAATGCGTTTAGGGTTGGTTGCTGGAGTCGTGGGCGAGGAAACTGGGAGTCATCAAGCTAACACTGGAGTGGATTCGCATTATGAGCTCTGGATCGCTGTGTTGCTGGTGATGATTACTACCAGTTACTACCATCTTTATTTGGGAGCGGAGCACAAGAGCAGATGGTGGCGTAAGAAAGGCTGTGAGGATGAAGATGTTTGCGCCATCGACTAAGTCTAGGCTGTCAAAGGTTGAGGGCAAGGAACTCTTGACTCTTCTGAAAAGGGTCGAGAGATCGATTGAGCCGGAGGCCAGGTTGTTGGCCCTGATCAACAAACATCGGGGAGCCCTTCACGGCTCAGACACCGCAAAGTCTGCCGAGCCAGGCCCTCAGCGCAGAGTTCAGAAAGATTCCAGCCTGAAAAGTGGAGCAGAGGAGTTGATGTGCCATGCAGAGCTTTACGCCCGTCTGCGGTTGATGCCAGGATTCGATATGTTGCGCAGCCGTGGGAGAGCGACATGTTTGTGAGCCCCAGTGGCGACAGAGTCCATCTGAAGCCAGACTGCCATAGACTCCGGAATGCGTCAAAGGCTGTGCGTAAGCAGGTTTGTCAGTACCGCTTGAATGCCTGGAGGAATCACCCTGGTAGCACAATGGGATGAGTGATGTTTGGGTCTTCAGGCAAGCGATGTATGTGATGGCTCCCCTGACGGGGGCATCAAGGGAGGTGCTGCGCTCTCTTGTATAGTCGCATGAGGGGAGCTTGTTTTTCAGGAACTTTGTGTGTGTGAAGGATGCATGTGGCTCAGCGGCAGATTGCGCCGATGCCATCCACGTTCTCGTCGTCGGCGTGTTCAAACGAAGTGATGGCAGGGTCGAAAGCAGAGATAGGGCTCGTGTCAAGTGTGTGAAGTCAAGAAAGGATAAGCAGCCATCGAAAGGGACGAAAGAACCCTCCATTGAAAGAAAAGAAATACAAAGAAATGGAGAAAGAGCCTTTCAAGGCCTACACAGGACTCTTGCGATCCTGATGCTGATGCTACTGCCTGCTTGTGCTTGCTGCGACCGGCCCACCCTGGGGCCCCCTGTAGCTTGCGCCCGTGCCGATGCCATGGAGGAGCGGTGTGGAGAGGCAGCTGGTGTCAGATGGACAGGACGCAATGATGAATGATGATGCTCTCGAGCTCTCTTGGGAGTCTCTTACTTGTCTGAGCAGTGCGTTGTGCGTGATGTTGGATTGGGCTGGACTGCTGAGCAAGCTTGGTGGACAAGGGTGACCTTACGTCTGCTGCTTACTACGCTGCGGCTTGTGCGGAGGCTCAAAGCAAAGGTTCGGCCCAAGCTTTTCGTCTGGGAGGAGGCAACAGACTTTGGCTGCGTCTTCAAACGAACGAGGTGGTCCGTTCCGTTGGAGTTTGGAGAGTCACCGGCGTCCCCTTTGGTTGGTCGGAAGAGGAGTTGCAGAGCGTGCTTTTGAATTCCGCGTGGGAAAATGTCGAAATCGTTTCTCCGCCGCGTTATCGAAAGCAACCTTGGTTGGTGCGTGCTAAACCTCCTGCGTCCTTGGTCGGCACGGTTGGTGCGGTGCATGTCGAGGATGACTTGTTGGTGCTCCAGCGTGCCCTTCAGAAGTCGCCAAAGTCCACTACCAGCTCAAGGCTTGACATGGTGTCGCGTCCTGTTGCTCAGTCGCAAGTCGTGATAAAGCCTATGGAAGTTGAGACTGTTGCGGAAACGCAGGTTGACGAGGTGAGTGCTGACGTTGAGATGCAGGGCCCCAAAGAGGCTCCCGAGGCTCCTCTTGCGGGAGGTGCTTCGTCCAAGCGTGTCGCGTTGGGTATGTCGCCTGATGCCAAGCGTAAGTTGAATAATGAAATCGAGATACTGGACACCTTGTCCGATGGATCTTGTGGTGATTCCTCGCTTGCTGTTGGTGTTGCTCTGATGCGTGGCGACAGGGTTGTGCGTACGAAAGAGTTTTACACCACTCTTGCTACCACTTTGCGCACGCAGATTGCGCAACACATCGCTGCTCATGCTGATGAGTATCGACCTGATTGGGCGGCAGAGCTGGCACCCACTGCCGGAGCTGATGATGGTCCCCATCCTAAGACATGAGAAGCTTGGTTGCAGTCGTTGTCCCGCCCTAGACGATGGATTTGTCAGTTGTCGCTTAAGGCTGGTGCTAAACGGCTTGGTGTGAAAGTTGTCGTGTTGCAGAAGCAGATTGATGGATCTTGGGCTGAACCCATTATAAGAATATCCAATCATTCTTGGCTTCAGTGAGGCGGATAAACACTACGTGCTTTTGGTGCCGAGAAGGTGCTGACTCGATACCGCAAGCTTGGCGCACTGGTGGTAGCCAGGATGAGGTGTCTGAGACTCCGCGTGGGAAAAAGACGTTGAGTTGCCTGCCACAAGGTACTCCGGCCAGTTCCAGTGCTCCTTTTGTTGCTGGCTCTCGCGTTTCAAGTAAAACGTTGTTTGAAAAGAAAGGTTGGTTGCCGGATCGCACTCCGAGTGTGTCGTCGAAAACTGTTGTGTCGTTGGCGTCCTCTCGGGTTTCTGCGGTTGGCTTGAAGAGCATGAAGCGTTGGTCGCCTTCCAAGACTCCTGGAGCAAAACAGAAAAGAGACTTCCCGTCCGCTGCCTCCAGTGCAGGCAGTCTTCACAGCGATGTCTCTCTGCGCTCCGCTGGCTTGAAGGTGGCAGGTTCTGAGTCTGAGATGCCTTCTCTTCATGTTTGGACGTGCAAGAGATGCCAGATGAGCTTTGAAGCCAAGACTGGTAAACAGCTTTCGGCTATGCGCAATACGCATCTTGGTGCTAGACATCCAGGTTGGGAAAGGGGCACAGATCTCATTCGCAAATTTGTTGATGTTGTCAAGACTTCAAAAACCTTGCCATTGTCACAGTGCGATTGGATTTGTGTTTGGCGTCGTGAAGGCTTGCCGTTGCTTGGTCGTTGGCAGTTTGAGAAGAGCGTCGCGGCTCATTTGGCTGAAAGGCATCCGAGGCGGAAGAAAAAGTCTGCTTCTGAGTCAAACAGGGCGCGTGGCAAGGCTTACCGAAAGGATAAGGATAGTGTTCCGAGATACCGTGATGGCAAGCTCACTCTGGCCATGAAGCTGAGAGACAGAGCCAACAAGGTTAGGGACTGGAATCCTTCAGGTCACGAGTTGAAGATTGTCGAGAATGTTGACTGGGACTCTTGGCACGGCTCAACTGCGTTGAAGCGTGGCAAAGATACGTTGTTGACTTGCGTCCGTTGCCTGTCTGTGAGACGTGCTTGCAGCAACTGGAAGCCTTGCAGTGGTGTTACACTGTTACAACTTTGTCGCCTGGTCAAGCTGTGATGTGGTCCAAACTCAATAATCACAATAAATCGGCGATTAGGGCGGCTTGGGGCACGACACAGGCTCAGGTGGATGCTGCGTTTTCTCATGGTGTTACCGTGATGCGTGATCCTGCTGCTACGAATGGGCATGACTTCAAGGAAGTGCCTATAAATTGGAAGTACTGGCCTCACAAACAAGGCAACAGGAGGCCTAGTGGCACCTTGTGGACTTGCTCAAAGTGTTGGGTTGTTCGCAGAGCTCTGGGCTCTCCTTGTAAGTGTCGTGGAAAGGACAGTAAACCTCATGCGCTGCAGACTGCGTTTTGGCATGGCCTTAAATCGGCCCCTGTCAAAAACAAGATCTGTTCCGTGTGGGGAGTTTCCGTTGCTGAGGCGAATGCTTGGTTCTCTTGACTATATAGTCGCGTTGACCATTCTCGCTTCCTTTTGGCTCGGTCGCTTGAGTTGCGTGCCTCGAAAGAGATTTCAGATTTCTTTCGCTTGCTTTTGCTGGCCCAAGGCGTTGAGCCCAACCCCGGTCCGGTTGACGTGGTTGTTTATTCCTGTAATGCTCAGTCGCCTAATGGTGCTTGGGCGCTCTTGGATCATGTTGCTTGCGTGTCCAAGTTGTCCGTTTGTGCGTTGCAGGAAACTAGGTTTAATGAGCGTGAGCTTGAAGCTTATCGGCGTGCAGCCTGCTATGCACGCTGGAGCAGATGTGCCGCAGATCCTGCGGGCTGTTCAAAGTAGGCTATTCTTCAAAGTCGGTGACAGCGGCCTGTAGAGCAATGTGGTGCGCAGACTGACTTTGACCAGAAGCAAGCAGTGCAGTGATTCACCAGCTTTAGAATCTAGAACATCCTGCCTCCCTCGATCCTCCTTGCCTTTAGTTCTGCGGTTCAGGCCTGATCTCCCTATTGCCACAACAAGCCACTTCTAGAGGTATCTCGCTTTCGGAAGAGACCTGCAGCGACTACAGTCACTGGGTAGGCATTCAACCGCCCAGCTGATAGCAGTCCTGCGCGTGGGCGCAGACCGCTGCTGCGCCAAGCGCCGGCAGCGGGGTGCGTGCTGCGACAGCCTAGCCATTGGTGAGTGCAGAGTGCAGAGTGCAACCATGATGCCCAGTGGCAGCCCAGTTGTGAACCTAGCATTCCGTCACTCAGGTCATGGCGGGCCAGCGGCGAAGCGCGGCTATGATGCACCAATGCCAGGCGGGACACCTGTATGATGGGGCGTCGCAGGACCCGAGCACGGCAGTGCCTTAGGCCAGGATGCGATCGTTCCTATGTACGGTGCAGGCATCGACATTGCTGCTCAGCCTGTTCGATTGGGCAGCATACGGAAGGGTGCGACAGTGACTGGGCTGTACTGCAGGAGAGGCGGCAGCGCGAGCATCGAAGAGCTCATGTTTCTCAGTGCGAGATTTTGGGCTGCAGCCGCATTGCAGGCGCCAGGCATGTTCACTGTTGCACAGTCTGTATTTGGCGTCGTGGACTGGACCACACGGGACACTGTCAGTACAGACAGCAGTTTGCGCATGTTGTGGGAAACGTTCCCCAGCCAGCAACTGCTTCTGATACCGTGGGAGATCGCTCGACGCGCCTGACTAATCTTTCACGGGCCACATCTTCGGCAGCGGCGCTGGGATCGGTGGATGTAGCTTCTGGGACAGCCAGTGACATCCAGTGACACAACTGCCAATCTGATGCCTCTCACCCGCTGGCAGCATCGCGCTATGCTGGCAGAGAGTTGTTTGGAGCCGATCGAGATTCTGGACTCCGAGCATGAAGGAAGTCTGCTCAGCACGATGGACTAATGGAATGTCAGAGCTGATTCAAAACTGTTAGGAGCTAGCTTAAGGGATCACCGAAAGTGGTGAAGCCGTCACAGAACGGCCGGATGCACTGCAAGGCGGTGTGTTTGTCCCCAGGCCTCGTCAAGCACTCGGATTGTGCGA